AAATCGATCATCAACATTAAGTCCGGTAAAAAAAACTAATACTTATACTATACTTATACTTATAAAACTATAATATACTAATGATACTAACTACAAGTATTTTATAATACTTATTTAAATTTATTTATAAATATCCGTACATAATTTTATTGATTGTTCTTGGAATTTTGACTTTCTTTATTTGACTTTCTTAATTTTGAATTCTTTATGTAAATCAATTTTCTAGACCTTGTATTATCTTCATTACAATTGATAACAACTGAAAGAAGATTCTAATGAACATATATGACATGCAAAATTATTTATTATGAATAATTTTATCAATTTAATTATTATTTAAATAACTCTGTTAATATTTTATTATAAACAAAATTTTATTTAAAATTTTATTTATATTCAATATTGTTTCTTATTTATTTAGGTATAAATTTGTTTAAACTGTACTTACACCATTGATTTGGTTTTCCAATAAATGTTTTTGCTTCATTTGAACTTATCAAAGGACTCTTAATTTCACGTAAAAACAACTTCAATACTCCTGTCACTGTATGAATATCAATATTCGGTTGCCGAAGCGATTCGTAATCATTGCCATCAATACGAAATCGCAAAGTTTGTATTTTATTATAATCGCCACACTGTCTATATATTCCTTCAACCGGTACCGACGATTCACGATATTTTTCATATACAATATCACAGCAATCTACAACAATTTTTGGCACTGTTTTGTGTATTTCATGTTTTAGGACCATTTCTATTTCCGTATCAAAACAAGGTTCGTCTGAAAAAGACAGAGATTTAAAGGTAAATACTTTTTCTTTTTTTTAGTTTTAATTTTCAAGATTTGAGAATACTTATATATTATAATTTAAAATAATTTTTTTTTAAAAAGCGGTTTTAACTTATATTTTAGGCTATAGTAAATTGGTTTTGGTGTCCAAATATTAATAAGAACCGTTTAAAGAAAAATCGATATTTCATTACCATATAAACTAGACATTATATATAATGTCTAGTTTATATGGTAATGAAATTTTTTTCTTTACTTCAAAACTGACAAAGTTGCTAAACTACTTAATGACTATAATGCTATAATGACATTTGTCGGGGTTGTGGCCCCGAAGATACTGTACTCCATCTCTTGTGTCAGTGTCCATCATTGACTAGGAAAAGATTTAAGATCTTCGGGGCACATTTTCTTATCGACATGACAGAGCTGTCATTCTGCAAAATGAGAGTTTGGCGCAGGTACACCCTTGTCAGGTTAGTTCACTTTCATTTAAATGAGAGAGTCGTGCTTTTAAGCATTCTTCGTACGTAGACCACAGCGTTTCTTTGGTGGGTTTTTCTGATTTGCATATGAACAGTGTTAGTCTGTGATATCACAGTTTGAGCTCAAATCGGTTTTGGTGCACAAGTCCATTACTGCCTCGTCATTTCGTCCATCTTTGATGAATACAATTCATTACATATAACCCGTTTTCTTATAGATATGTATGTATATATATACAAATACTAGCGGACCCGACAGATGTTGTCCTGCATGATATACTAAGCGATTAGGATATTAAAAAAAGTAAGAAATGAGAGATAAATAATGTTATAATTTTGTTATTCTTTATTTTGAAATAACATCAATTTTTCCAAAAACAATTCGTAATTATCAATAATGTTTGTTTAATTTCATCTTAATGCGAGTTGATGAACAATATTTTTAGTCAATTCTTGAGGAGTATAAATAAATAAACTTGAATGTTTTCCAACGCGAGAACACGCCGCATATAATTGGCCATATGAAAAGATCTGATTTTCTAGATCTATCTCACAAATCGACATTATTTGACCTTGTGACTTATTAATAGTTATGGCAAATGCCTAGCGAATTTGAAATTGCAGACGTCTGAATGGAATGGGTGAGCCTGAAGGAATCATTGGGATTCGTGGCAGGAGAACATCCTTACCTTCAAATTTGCCATTCAAAATTGTAGCTTCAAGTACATTGCCCATAATTTTTTTTATGGCTAATCTCGTACCGTTGCATAGCTTAGGTGCATTTAAATTCTGCAGCATAATTAAAGGTGAGCCAATTTTTAATCTTAAGTTATGTGGTGGCATTCCTGGTAATTCCAACGAATTCAAAAATTCAACAGGATAGTTGAACAATTCATTTTAGAAACTTTAAACTTTTCAAACAAATCAAAGTAAACATGAATAAATTTTAAATGTCTAATATAAATGTATATGGATAGCAAAAAACTGTATAATAATTAAAAAAAACATTATCCAGTGAACCAAATTGTGAATCTAAACCATCCTTGAATCCACTTGAACACACACAAAAAATTTCATCAAAATCCGTTCAGCCGTTTAGGAGCAGTTCACTGTCAACACACGTACAGAAGAATTATATATATAAAGATATGTTTAATTTGCTAAAACTGGCCATATGTTTTTTAATATTTTGTCTCGTTACCCCCGAGTTAACAATATATTTATTTAATATTTTATAATTTCTAAAATGTTGAGTTATATATATTTATAGTTTTATTGGTATATCAAATAATTACTTTTGTTTTGAAATATATGTTAAGTTTAAAAATTGAAGATATATAAAAATTATTACTGAAACAAATTTCAATAATACTTTTCTAATCGACCTATAATTACAGCTCTATATTAAATCATAACTTAAGTTGCAAAACAGAAAACGTAACGTAAAAATGACGTATATAACAAGAAGATCTGTGCTATACAGTATCGTGACTCATAGAGGGCTGTATTACAAAATATTTATTTTTAATATAAAACTACAATTTATAGTGATTCTATATATTAAGCACACATTATTAAAAAAATAATATACTAACTTGTCATTTAAGAAAATTAGATTTGGTTTAATGAGCTTGTATAACTAAACATTTCAATAAAAATAGCAAGAGACCACATATTTGTAATGATAATATAATTTTCTACACATTCACAATTTAGTAACCACATAAATTCATATCAACCACAAAATAAACACCCTCGTTTCCACATTTCCGATAGTGTTGAACTTATCCCAAATAAAATACATTAAAATAAACAACAGCTAAGTTACCAGCTAACTACATTGAAACCTCGTTATAATCATTCAAAAAAGAAGTTAATGTAGAAGGTCTTTATATGAACATTTTTAACACTACAAATAAGAATTCTAAAATCATTTAATTATTTATTTATGTTAAAATTTTTCGATTATTTTCAATTTATATTTTAGAGTAGAGAATAATCCTTAACATTACTTTGTTACTTTGCATATTATTACATTACTAAATTGAATTCACATCTATTATGTAGTTAATTACTTAACTTCATTGATGCCAGCAACACAAGTAAATCGTTTTTGATTTTTAGGATTTTTGCTTTTATTTATTTGTATATTATTTTGTATTTTGTATACCAAAAATCCTAAAAAACAAAACCGACTTTAAAAAATTTAAAATAAAATTAGCACAAATAGGCTAAAAGTTAAGTTAGAGAAACAGCTAACAGCATCAAAAAATTAAAAAATTTTGGCTAATAGCACCAAAAAAAGTTCACACACAGAATGAATGTGGGAATGTTAAACATTTTCAATATTTATGTAGATTTTTTTGGGAAGTATTGTTCTAACACCATTTTTGTTAGCTGTTGTGTTGCAATTTGGAAAGAAATGACTAAGTCTGTTATTGTACTATTTTTTCTTCATAATGGTTGGTTGGTTGCACTGGTAGGGCAGCAGTTAAATTTTCACTGATCTCAATCAATCTTATTAATTTTCCAGATAAAATGCGTTATCGTTTCTTTTTCCTGTAAGTTTCAACTTCTACAATGAAAAGCACTCCCATCATAAAAGTCTAACTAATAATAATAATTTGTTATGTTTCCGAGTTCAAAGATTTTAATTTAAAACAAAATTAAATTCGTTATTAATTAAATTCAAATTCGTGCTTTTTTATGTTAGGAATATAATCGTCTAGATTTAAAATTATAAATAAAATGTTCGCTAAAGCTTTTGGAAATTTTAAGCAATTAGTATTTTAAAATTTTGGATCAGTTCAGGTATATTCGTATTTGGAATGAAAATTAATCTGCTCTTTGAAAATGTTTGCTCTATGATGTTTTATAGAAATATATACAACAGCAAATGCTTGAAACTGTATAGAACAGGTCGCTGTGTTAAATGTTTAAGTACACTCCAAAACCTCGAACCTCTTAAAATGATCTAAGCTTCAAACATCTTAAATCAGTAAATCAAAAAATCTATAAAGCTCTAGTAACAATATATCTACCTTGATTTCTTGTTTGTATATAACACCAATAATAATTATTGATGAATTGTCTGACCTTAATATCAATTAAAACTTCTTGGACTACAACAAGAAATTATATTTATATTATAAAGAATATAGTAGAATATAAGAATATATTAAAAATTTTCTTTAAATGGTGCTACACCGTAATTGTGAATAAGCATAAAAATTAATATAATATTCATAATACTCATATTATTTACATTTTTGAATGATCTTTTAAAAGGATTTTTTTTTCATTTTTAAAGTACGACGAAATCATGCCATAAAAGTCTCCAACGCATTTCAATGGTAAAATATACAATAAATTTGGGGATATACGAGTACTTTGAATGAATCATTAATAATGGCATGCATAGCATAACTTTTATTTAATTAATGATTCAACTTGAAAAATTTATTTTTTTAAATTATGTGTACTTCATTCTTATTCATACATCAAACTGAGCTTACTTTAATATCGATATCTTTTCGTAGAATTTAGTTTTTACTGAATATACCTATATATTAGTATTAAACCCATTTTTCTTTCATATTAATTTGAATGAATGTGTTATGTTTTGATAAGTTGCATAAAAATATATTTTGGAATTAGAATTGAGAATTGAGTAACATTTGGTAATGAAATCAACATCTGCACTTAACCATTTTTCTTAAAAGAATTATTAAAAACATCCAATCTTTTTAAATCTAGAAATAATGAATAAAGTATAAAGTTATGAAAAAATATTCCACGTAAAGCTTAGTACTACATCGCAACTCGGCTGAAAAGGTAATATAAAACTCCATTTAAAACACAATTTTTCTACAATGCTAAACTTTTGTGGATAATTTTTTTCATTGGGAGTTTTATGATAAATGCGAATTTAAAGTAATTAAAAATATGAAAGTGAATCTTATACTTCTCTTCGAAAAAGTAAATTAGTTTCCTTAAATTTTAAAAGTAGATTATTTTTATTAAGAATTAAACGTTTTGCGAAATAAGATTTTTCCATTAAAATATATTATATTAGTGTGGATTCTATTATGATTAGGTTATTACGAATATTCTAAGAATACACTTAAGTGTGTTGCCCTATAAAACTTAAAGGTGTATAAAATTGTAATGCGTGTAAAACTCTAAGAATTTTAAATTATTTGAACTCTAATAATAAACTCCAATATAGTTTTGAAAAATAACTCTTGTGAGTGACTAAGATCCTCTAGAAAATAAGTCTATACTTTGCTTATAATGTCAAGAAAATGTTAAGAGTTTTCTTCATCTGTGGCATCATCTGTGTATAAGAAATATTCATTAACCTAGCATGATTTTCTAACTAAATATAGCCTATCAGCGAACTCACTATAAGACTTAATATAAATGCGGTGTATCTCAACAATTAACCAACTTCCTCACATTTGTCTGCATCCATTTTAGCGACCAGTTTAATTGTATTTTTCAACTGAAACATTTTGTCTT